CTTGGGTCGCCCTCGCATTGATTGATATCCAGAGATGCCAGCTTTGCGTCGGAACCGACGACTCCACTGTAACGACAGCATTCGGAGTCACTCGATGTAAACTCATGTACTATCCTTAGTTCATTATACTTATGTATTATTTTATTATTACATATTAACCCTATAATTACGCGTTATGGGATGATTATTATATATGTAGAAAGCGCGAGGGTGTTAAAGGGTTTGTCATTGCGTGCTAGCAAGGAATTATGGTTAAGGTTAGGGTTGAGATTAGGGTTGGAGTTGGGGTTAAGGTTAGGGTTAGGATTAGTGTTGGGGTTCGGAGTTGGGTTTGGGGTTGGGGTTAAGCACAACGCACACACCCGAGCGAAACACCGGAACGTGGAGCGAAACATGTTTCGCCTGAGCGTATGTTTTGCTCGGGTGTGTGCGTCAATTGTTCTGCTACACAGCGAAACGCCACAGACGGTCTCCAATCAATATCCTTAAAAATATCACATGACACACAAAATTAGATGTCCATTGGACGGCTATTTTGGATGTCATGTGACAGCGGCGCTGTGCGCAGTGTTTCTGTATGTTTTGCTCAGCTGTGTGCGCTTGCTCGCTCAGCAGAACGCGAAAAGCTGGAAAACAAAATTTCGTGTTTCGCTCGGGTGTGTGCGTTGTGCGTGTCGGGTTGTGCTGCGTTTACATTATCGATTTTTGTCAGCAAATCGTAGCGATTTCAAGTGCATTCCAACTTGCCCCCGACTTGACCCAAGTGCATTTCAACTAATCGGCTGAAATTCGATTGTGTTGGAGTCGGAGTTGGAGTCAAGTCGCCGAGTTGGAGAAATAGAACGTGTTCTATTTTGCACGACTCGGACGATTTGCTGACAAAAATCGATAGTGTAAACGCAGCTTTAGGTTTAGGGATATATATATATATATAAATAATGTAATATTATTATTGTTATTATTATTATTGTTTGTACCTGAACTCGAGATCTCCCGACTGCCGTTTCTTTTTGTAGAAGGGAACGTAGTAGGACAGGATCCAGACACCGTGATAGCAGTCGTAGAAAGGCTTATTCCACTTGCCGTGGCTGATGGTGGCAGCACGGTAGGTCTGGTTGCTGTGCAGCATCATCGTCCCTGGGTCCCCAGTACCATCAATCCGCGCTCTTATGTTGATCTGCATGTGAAAGTTGTTGTTGTTGTTTATGTTTTGATTAAAATGAGGATTAATTTTGATATATTTGTTGATCTGCTTGCGAATGCGTTTTAAATTACGTCGGAAAAACGCAAACGTTATTTGAGTTTACATTTAGAAGTTTTATTTTGTTACAATTAAAACCGTGATTACCTATAGTTCTTTCCTTTGTTGGTTAGCAAGAAATACACACACACACACACACACACACAATGTGTGTGTGTGTGTGTGTGTGTGTGTGTGTGTGTGTGTGTGTGTGTGTGTGTGTGTGTGTAACTGCTCGTACGTGTGCCAGTTTGTATGTGTGCGTGGCTGCACATCCTTCTTTAAACGGTAGCATCACGCGTAGAGATGAGTTCGTTCTATTCACACTGGTACGTAGATCTATTGCCGCCACGCTAAGCTGTTGTCTTGTCGTTAAAAGCGAGTATCCGTGACGGAAGTGGCTCAACAGAACACACCATGACGGCAGGACATTGTCCATGACCATTGTCCATTGTTCGTCTCCATTTGCTCATAGAACGACCGCAGCTGCAAAGGTCCTCGACTCAATAATCTAGGTAACTTCAGTAGACCTCCTCCCCTTCCTCCAACGTGCATTATTGTGTATATCGTATTTAATTATATTATATAATAAATGTGTATGTATATATTATCAGGAGTGAATAATAATAGATTATTTATCTAATAGAGAATTTATTATTATTTACTGCTGATATTATTATCATATTAGTTATTAATTAGGAATGTAATACACGTATGCGGTGATTTATAATTTACAATGTTTGTGTTTATTCATCTGTGAAATGTTAATAATTGATAAGATAACAGTTTCTAAAGTGTAAAATAGCGACGCATAATTGTTCGTGTTCTATTCGATTTCGATGTGAAGTTTCAATTACATAATGCAACAAAATAAGGAGCGATACGGGATATCAGGAATGAGATGTCATGGGATACAGTCAGGAAGGCAGCTAACTCATTTTCCTTGAGGGCAGAAGCACGCGCGGTTGGTGTTCTGGTCAGTTAACCGTGAACATTTCGCCACCAACCATGTAATAGTATTAGGAGTGTTATAATATAATAGTCTTATACTATTAGATTAGACTATATTATAAAAGTCCTGATAGTGTCTACATTTATCTGGTGTAGCAACTGCCCTGACAATGTGTCAAAAATCATCCGCATAAAATACATGAATTGCATCAAGAACTAATAATACATTATTACATGTATATGTATACATATACATTATGTTATACATTATTATATACATGTGTATTATAATACATTATTATAATATATTATTATGAGGTAATAATAGACGTGTTATTAGCTCTTGATTGCAGGACATGTTGGACTCTACCAGCGTGAAGTTGCTTCGCGTATATAAACGAAACCAAGAGCTTGCAACATAAAATATAAACGAGCTGAGTGAATTCGAATAACCAATAAAATGATTTTTTAATAAACGATGAAACAAAGCATCCGTCCAGCCTCATATCCTACCACAAATGTGTATGCCACAATCACTGATCTCTATATATATTAACAAGAGCTTATAATATTTTATTATACTAACGTTAGTGTATAGAGAGCATTGGCTTCAGCCTAATATCTATAATGCCTACACCAAAATGCAAAGCGGACTGACAACCAAGTGTTTGTTGAGCCCTGAAAGCTGTCCTTTAAAAACATTCGCTTGCATAGGCGCGTGGAGCAAAAGGAAAAAAAGAAGAAAGAAAAAGACAAGCAAAGAAAAACACGGAAAATACCGATGATAGCCGACAGGATGAAGCGACGAACTCTGCTGACTGGTCACTGACACCAGACGAAGATCACCCGCATGTCAACATAGGTGGCGCTACGTGACTGTAACATTTCAAGACCTCCGCGCGTTCCACCATAGAATAGAGATCTTTATTCTACTTCGATTTTTACTTCTATTCATATATATCCATAGATATCTTCTATCTTTTATCTATAGTTCCACTAAGATGTATATAATAACATCGATGTATGTTAACGCATACAGCTCACTGACGCGTTCGACTTGTAAAACCATGACGTCATAGCGCCCACGTTGCAGCGAAAGAATCCATACAAGCCGCTGACCTTGTACAGTCACACGTTGACATTGTCTTGACCTTAATCCCACACCCTTGTCGGACCAATACGCCATAATTATGCTTATACGTCTATATCTATATAATATCAAAAGTCTATATTAGAATTATTCTAGATATATATAGTCTATATAATTATATATAGTCCATGTATATATATATATATATATATATAATCAGGAGCTAATAATGACAAATTTGTCATTATTAGCTCTTGATATAATATAACGGATAGAAACGAGGGGCACCCATACTACAGTAGATAGCTTGTAAACATTGTGCTATGCATTTGGAAGAGAATTCTACGAAGGTGGAAACCTAGCTAGTAATTGCTCATGCTTTTAATACACGCAGGCGTACGCTTTGAATGGGAACGATTCCAGTCTGGGATAGTTGTTTGTTATTGCTGTTGGTGGGGCAGCCCTGCCTGTCGATAAGTCATAGACAACGTGTGGACAAGACCTAGACATGACATAGACAAGATATAGACAAGACCTAGACATGAAATAGACAAGATATAGTGTCATGCCATGGTAGGGAGGTAGGGTTAGAGCATATCACATAGATACAGGGAGTGGGTAAGACACAAATTTTTGTGTTATTAATTTTAAATAAATTCTAAAAGTTACAACACACGAGTATGTAAGTTGCTATCAAGTTGTCAGCAAGGGAAGAGCAGGCGAGGCAGCGAAACTGCCAAATGCAAAATGCTGTGAAGAGAGTGTTTCGGAGAAGAATTCGTTTTCAGTTTGTCAGTGGTGTGAGTGTGTAATGTGGGAATAATGAGCATTTACATTTTGGAACGATGGCGTCGTGATTTTCCATATCATATAGTGTACAATATATATATAATATAGATCACAGATATAATATGTAATAAGATGATGTCCATCGGTGAGGGATTTGAGAGATGGCGATAAGGGCAAGGGGCAAAATTTGCAGTCGTGAATAAACCATTATTTGCAATGATCCATTGTTTATCTCATATTTTTTGTCTCGATTTTGCTCTTAGTAAGGCCACCCTTAAAAAATTGTTTGTTTGCCCTTTACCTACTCGCCTCTCAGGGTACCGAGTAGGTAGGTAGGTGAAAAATATTTTTTATTTTGTTTTGACAAGATGTGTGTATGTATATTGTATATTCTGTTTTGTGTATATGTTTTTGCGGAACGAATTTGATTTTTTTTTTTGCGAAACGAAATAATTTTTGTTTTGTTTTAATCGGCCAATAAAATTTGTCGAGTAGCGGCGTTTTGGCGAGGCGTTTTGGCGAGTCGGTCGGTAAAGGGGAAACAAGCAATATTTTATCTTAAGGTGCCGTCACACCATAGCGATCACCAGTTGCGTATGGTTGCGAATAAAAAATAGTGGGCATAAGTTCCGAACGCAACTCACACGCAACTAAAGGTGCCGTCACACCATAGCGATCACCAGTTGCGTATGGTTGCGAATAAAAAATAGTGGGCATAAGTTCCGAACGCAACTCACACGCAACTAAAGGTTTTATAGGTTTGAAGTACGCAACAGCGCTGTTGCGT